CCACAACCTTGCGTTCAGAGCCCTGAGGAGCAAAAGGGCACACAAAGAACAAGACAGTGGGACATGTGTCATAAAGCATGTCCGTGGGAACCCAGGGAAGGGTGAATCACGCCAGCTCAGAAGCTTGGGAAGCCTTCCCCATGAAAAGGCAGGGAGGGTGGGGCGCAATGGGATGATCTCTGTGGAAGAGGCCAGAACGACCTTGCAGGGTGGTGGTGAGAACATGAGGATGGGGTAATGTGACTTTACAGCGCAGGAGGGGAACCAATCACACCTCAGCTCCCTTCCAGTGCCCTTACCCCAGTAGTGTTAAGGGGCAGCAACTGAGTGACCCTATGATAGTTCGAGGCCTGGGATACCAGGGCTGTGAACAGAAGTACACTCACCGTTCCCCACCAAACATCCACCAGCCAGTGACTACACAAAGCACTGTTCTAGTTGTTGGGGTTCAAAGCCCAGGGCCAGATTCCCACCTTCAAGAACTTCTGGAGTGGCAGGTAGAGACTATAGAAAGAGAACTATAGAGCGATCCCTCCAGCCAGGACGTGGTTAGGGCCGGGGATATTTGACCCAACAGTACTCTCTGGGAGACAGTATGGTCAGCTTAGATTCAAGGGCTGAAACGTTAGGGTAAACTCCAACCACCGGACATTCTCCAAGTCAGCAACTGCACTGAACCCACTGCATCTAACTCGGCAATCTTATTTTTCATTTGCCAGATAATGACGTAAAGGTCTGCAGGCTAGTTTAATTTACCTGTCTACTTTTACATAAACTTTAGAAGCCTCTAGATGAAGTAAAGAGAAACTTTAAACAGTGTAACAAATAGTCACTATCTGATACAAGGATAGTTATTTGAATTTAAGACAATATATCCACGTTCTTCCTCCCCAGATCTCTAATTTTCAGTATATATATATGTATAATAGTGAGGGGGAGGTAAAAGCAGGAGGATCACAAGTTCAAGGCCAGCCTGGTCAACCTACAAAGATGTTGTCTCAAAATAAAAGATAAGGGCTGGGCATGTTGCTTAGTGGCAGAGTGCTCGCGCATGTTCAAGGCCCTGGGTTCAGTGGGTTCAATCTCCAGCACTTCTGAATGGATGAATGGATGAATGAATGAATGAGAGGGATGATTAAACAATGAGGAAAGGATGGTGGCATAGCTCTTAGCTGCTGATCATGAAAGCTAAAAATCTATGCATGCCACTGACATCTTTGTGTTGGCTTATATATTCACTTATTCAACCCATCTTCATAAAGACAGTGAGAAACAAAAACAGAGTGACAAGTAATTCCAACTGTCATGCTCAGAAGGCTGGCAAAGGGCTGGTGTAATTAAGGGAGGCCCCCCAAACTCAAGCTGTTGTGTTTTTTTCATGTCAACATTATTAAAAAACTCATGATGGAGTCCCAGACTGAACTTCAGTGGATGCTTCATAGGACGTTATGAGCACTTTATGGATGTGGGGGTTTTAAATCTAGGAAGTGTGACTATGAAACTCTCAGCCTCACCAGCCTATGCCAATGCACATGCCATTCTATTACTGCTCTCTTCGAAGTGGATTATCTCTGTTCCCTGGCAAACAATTGAAATCCAAAGAGTGGAAGATCCAGTGAAAGATGAGGAAAGCCTGGCTTTTACACCCCACAGTACCAGTGATTAAATGCTCAGCCATAGCTGCAAAAGCTCTTCAACTCAACTGTTCAGCTTGCCCATGAGTATTTGAAAATACTGATATTGTAATACTGACATTGTAAAGGTGATGTGCCAGGAAAGCAAGAGGGAGAGCAGAAATAGCTCAAGAGAAAAGGTCAAATAACTACTACATACAACAATTACACCAGTGTAGGGATGTAGCCCAGTGGTAGAGCATATGTGAAGCTGTGGGTTCCATACCCAGCACTACACACACAAAAATAAATACAAAATAAAACACATATTCCATTTGTGCAGGACATGAAAAACTGCAAAAACAGCACATGAGATGGTGATGGGAGTGCTCCACCAGGCCCCATCCAGCTGCCCTGAGAACTGAGGAGCCATGGGCATGTGTGTGTGTGTGTCCCTGCAGAAGCTCTGAGCTGGGCATCTACAAGGTGCACTCACCTTTGAAGGCTCACAGTCATGTGGGAACTCAGGGAGGGATACAGCTCCCTGCAGCCAGAGTCAGTGGGGTCTCTTAGAGCTCACAATCATGATGCCACACTAGAGTAGACCATGAGGGTCCACTGCCTGGCCGCTGTGATGGAAGGGAGGCTGAAGGGGTGGGGCAAGGGGAGGAGGCAAAAGGCAATACTGGCAGCAACAGCGCTACTGCACTCACTTGAGATGTGGAGCCAGGGACAGCAGATGCTGTTATCCATCCATGTGGCCCTCAAAGGCTTGAAGAGTCACAGGCTAAGAACCAATGGCCACACATAGCTAAAACTCCAGGAAATGGATGCTTTGGGCAAATACTGTTTGCTAGTTAGGCAAATAAGGCACAGGGCCTGTTCTTCAGCTCCCTGCCCATTGCAGTGAGAGCAAATGGTTAATTAGGAACACTCACTATTAACCAGGAAGAATGTAATGTGTTCCTCAAGTGTTACCCAAGGTGGAAAATGGTATAGCCCAGACTAATTTATTAGGTGTTTTTCCAAAATATTGGGCCATACTTCTACTCAGGTAAGGCAGAGAAAACAGGAACTCTAAAATGGGCACCCTAAAGCACAGGGTCTTCACATGGCCAAGTCTGTACTTGTGTATATAAGTATGTACTTTGCTGAAGGGTTAAGTGACTGGAATTAATGGCAGGAAAATTGAGAAACTCTCTAAAGAAATCTAAACAGTCACCCACAGTAAGTCCATGTCCTCCCTGTATTCTTTTTTCTGGTAAAGACACAGAAAACAAAGCAATGACCTGACCCAAAACTGTAAGAAGAAGAAAAGCAACATTAGCTCAAGACTGAGCAGCAAGACAAATATGACTCCACTTGCCAGATAAAATAGGAAATCTTCGCAGCTGGGTTACCTCTGTATCAGTCACAATGGCCCAGTCTCCTTACTCCTCATGTTTCTCAAACTAAACTGAACCCTGCTGTCCAAATTCAGCCATCTGTACCCTGAATCATAAAATCCTGCTTCTCAGAAAAGTGAATCACATCACTACTTCTCAGTGATGTCAAATAAATTACATCCACATTAATTTAAAACAATTTCCAAATAAAAAGTTCCCAAGTGAGAGTTTAAGATGCTAGAACCAAAATTTACTTTAAAACACTGGTTTTAAATAAGTTGATTATAATAATCTCAATGACCACTGATGTATCATAGGTCATGTCTGAATAGAAGAATGATTTGCTTTAATCAGATCCTTTACTCCTGATGCTTTATAGGTTTTCAGAATTGAAAAATTGTTTTGCTTAAAGACAGATGATTGAGATGAAACACAAGATACTCTGGGCAGAGCGGCATGAAAGACCACATCTAGGCACACAGTAAGTGCCGAACACTTGCTGGGGCAGTGAGAGACCCAGCACAGCAGCAAGGCGGGGTTCGGGGTTTCGTCCCATGCTGATGATCTCTCAGGTCATTCACAAAGCAGCTCCATCTTTCCCAATGTGATTCAGAAAGTGAGCTACGTTCCAGTCACAGAGTTCTTCGGGGAGATTATGTACAGAACGCACCAGAGTTTTTAAGAAATAGAGTACAAAGCATGGAACACTATTTAGCAGTGACATACTGGGAGTCATGGGGTCCAGTGGCACCACACTGGCTGACATTTTGTTTGTGGTACTAGGGATTGAACCCGGGGCCCTTGTGCATGACAGGCAAGCAGCTCTATTGCTGAGTTTCATCTTTAGCCTGCCTTCCACCCCCATATCCCCCTTTATTTTGCGGGGGAAGAGTCCTGCTAATTTGCTCAGGCTGGCCTCAAACTGGTGTTCTTCCTGTCTCAGCCTCCTAAGGAGCTGGAGGCGATGCCACTGTTCCAGGATGACCCTTTGTTTTTTTTGATTATGATTTAAGAGACCTGACAGGTCACTTAACATTTTTAATAACTTTAACATCTTCATTGGTACTTTAACCAAAACTCTGTAACTTCAAATAAAGCATCATTTATTCTCAAGGGAACAGAGTTACGGTAAATTACATAAATATAGTCAGATGATACAAACCTATTTTCTTTCACCTTGGATACCCAACTACATGGGATGTGAAAATATTTCTTTTATCAAAGACATAATCTGTTTTATCAATAGCTAAGAGTAGGGCCATTTTTGCAAGCTTTCAGCTGAAAAAACAATACACTCCTTACTTTATATCGGAAAAGGAATGACCTTAAGATTTCCAAGCAACAGTTCTTTTTCAAAATCTGAACTCCCTTGCTGACCATTAGAAATTGTTTCAAATGTCCCTCTCTTGGCCCTCATTTGTGCCAAACCCTAGACAAATATGCAACAAGGTTGTACTTCTGCAACATTCCGTCTGAGCTGGGTGCTAGGCAATCTGGCCTCCCTTGCTTCAGCACTCCATCATTCATATGAGTTTGAGATTTCTCCTCAATCGAACTGCGCTGGTATTACAGAGAGGAAGTGAGAAATTCGGCTATTCTGCTTCTAGCTCCTATGGGTTAACAAAATTACTGCAAATGCACTGCTGTAACTGCAAGTATGTGCTGAGTTTAGGATGCCATGATACAAATTCTGTCTTTGGTCAAGGTTTACATGCGAGAGGGAGGTTACAAACAGGAACCAGACATTCTGATGCTGGATGGGCCCACTCCAGATAGTCGGCTGCTGCTTGGTATTTGCAGAATGCATTTTTAAAAACTAAAAATAAATAAAAATTGGCTCATCTGATGTCAACATAAAGTGGTATTGTTTTCTGTATCACATTCTTACCCATTTCCCAGTGATCTAAAATGGTGATAAAGGACAGTTTTGTTTCTTTTCACCAAATAGCTAGAAATATTAAAAAATTAAGGCAGATTAGATATAAAATGCAAGTCAAACATGTTTTTTAAACCAGATTTTTTTAATTCAAATTGACCCAAAGCAAAATTTACATTACAAAGGAAGAACAAAATACATTATGATATAACACACCAGGAGTTACATGAAAGCTAAATTTGTGGGCAAATGGCCTTATCCCAATCACATCCTGGGCTAGTGAGCAATTCTGCACAGAAGTTAGAATCTCATGGTCCACTCTGGTAATTACGCTACACGTTCCTGTCTCAGGGTGTGCATCTGACAAGCCATGCTAGCCTCCCTCGTGCTCCAGATGTGCACTCCTGCACTGCCAGAACACAGAATTCTTTAGCGGAAATGCTGTTCCAAGCATGACTGATAATGAACTAAAAAACAAAACAGTTAAGTCCTCCAAACTAACAAGCATGGGTTATTCTGTAGTAAATAGTTTAGAAAATATGGGAATTAAATAATCTAAAAAACACTCTTACTCTGCTGTACATTTATAAACATAAATATTTACAAAAAAAGAGACTTGTTTTCAAAAGATGAGGTTTGCCGTTCATTAATGATCCTAACCTTTTACGAGCTGGCTTCTTTGGTGTATTTGCCAAATATATTTTTATAAAGATTTAGCAATAGGCTTAAACAATAATTTTGAAAAGAAACACAAGAATCAGTGACAAATTTGATAATATACTGAACATTTTAGGTAAGAGTCTGGAAAAGCCAATCAGCTGATTTCCTGAAAATATCCATTCTTTCAACCCACCTTGTGGCCACAGAATGCTTCTCTGTCAATCAAATTCAAGTGCGGACCTGCGTTTCACCACTGTATTCCCCCATTACCAACTATGGGGCATTTTAGTTACTGTTAAATATGATATGTGATTGGGATTTTATTAATAAACATAAAACATTCTTTTTAAGCTTCCAGATAAATCAAACCTCAAACAATAAATAATGGAATTATATACTTCTTCATTAAATAGAAATTTCAATTCCAGGAAGAGCTCTCATAATTTTTTTTCTTTCTGAAGTCACAGCAGCAACAGAGAACAAAGAATTTACCTTAATCTGAACCTTTCACTTGAAAGGTTCACTGACTCCAATTCAGTGACTAACTTAGTTTGGAAACCTTTGAATGGTTGGGACGAGAATGTCATTTTAAGCTGACTGAATAAATTAATACACACATATGCGGGGATAAGCCCTGTGCAAATGGAAACATTAACATCACTGCTCAGAGTTCAGGACTCCAGGTACCTCCTGCCTCCCCATCTCCCTGGGCCTGAGGTTTCAGAAGGAATGCTCAGTTCATTTCCGGACGTACAACTTAACGCTGTTAAGGCACCTCACCCCTGGGCTGGGTAGTAAAAGGTAAGAGACACAGTTTAGGGCTGTCTTCACTAGGGACTCTCTTGGAGACACATTCATGAGGAAAAGGTGGGACCACCCATGCCTACCCATCAGGCTCCAGCCACAGTTAAGGATGCGTACAGCACTGGCTCCATGCTAACTGGCTGCCTGTAAAGAGTCTTGGGCAACATCAGCGACTCCCCAAATAATCCTTTTTGTCTGTAGTTGTCCATTCATCAGAAAGCTGCACATTGCTCGGGCACAAGTAGATCAGATACTGTGATGCCAGGGCTACTCTGCAGCAGGGACAATGAACAGCACTGCTGGCTCTGGGAAAGGTAAAGCCAGAGTAGACTCCTAATTTTACTTAGTTATGTTTCTAGGAAGAAGAATTTTATACTTTATGATTTAAAACTAGAAATTCAGACAAGAAAAGCCCTTCATCTTGTAAACTTCAGTTAACAAATTTATTAACAACATGTAAATATTATGAAGTTTCCCAAAGCACAAAGAATGATTCTGGGACATTTAAAAAGTTCTTCTGAAACTCACATAATGTCAAATGAAGCAGAGAACTCCTGTGGGGTCTTTTCCACTGTTACTTTATTGCAGCCATGCTTACTCTGCACGCATATATGCCTGAGCCGCCCAGAAAACAAAAGAACTGTCCTTAAAAGCTTCACTGTACATAACTTTAACATAGCAGGAAATGTTCAATTAGCATGTTAAGAATTAGCCAGACTTACAAATGTGCACCCATTAAGAGGTTTACCCTTAAGATATTTTTATTTAAAAACCAGGAAGAAAAAAACCACTCCCCAATCATTTAACCATTAAAACCAAATGGTTTAACAGTAGTTTGGGTTATTTTTAGGGAGACATTCTACCACCAGGATATAAAATTTGCTACTTAAAGTGAAATTTAAAAAATAAAGCTTAAAATGGAATTGCAACTGACATACTACAGGTCTGCAATGAAAATTAAAGTGGTGGTTCCTGTTTTCACAGGCAAGTCAAAGCCAGCTGTGGAATGACCAACAGAGAGTAAAATAATGGACAGAACAAATCAGAAAGAGTATTGCACTAGAGGCGCTGTTTTAAAAACAGAATATACTGGCTTTATAAAGTTATTCTCTTTCCCATTTTTTTTTTTTTAAAGCACAATTCAACTACAGACAAAAGCTGAGACACGATGTCTCAGGGTAGTGTCCTACAGTTGTTAAAAAAAAAATAAGTTAAAGACAAGAGCACACCCAAAGGAAAGCAGAGGTACTGGATTTGTCATCTGAAAGCTACATTAATTAGGAAAAAAAGAACAATTTGAAATAGCTGATTTGTATTCATTAAAAGTAAATGAGGTGCCAGCATTACTTTAAGTCTTTTCTTGGGGGATTTTCCAGGATAACCCAGTACCCTCTTGGTATAACGGGATCTGCAAATTGTAGTAAGTATTCTGCTGGTTTCTAGTACCATGCTCACCAATGAAGCTAAATAAATTTGGAAAGGGTAAATTCTTCACTCCAAACCTGCTTGTGTCATTTAGGGAAAACAATTTTTCTAAATGCAGTGTTGTATGGAAAGCCTGGACCAAGAAACCAAATTAAGACCTTCAAGCATGTGCTGTATGTGTGTGTTTATGTGTATAAAAACTCCCTCCCCTACAATGAAAACCAACCAAACAAAAAACCTAAAAGTGTATACCTGCTTTCTGACTTCACAGCAAATCAGAAATTGCATAGGATATACTTTGTGCAAGGCAAAAAGCCTCTTAAGTATCTGGAATATAACTTGCTCAGAGTCTTGGTGTATTAGATATCATCAAATTTGTGTTTTAAGTAGTCTTTCATGACCTTGGCAATTGGTAGTTCATCAAGTAGCTTTAGATTTTGAAGGCCTATACATTGTCGAATTTTAATTCGGCACAGGTCCTGTAAGTTTCTGGGCTGTCCTAAAAAGACAGAAAAAAAAATGTTACAAAGCTGTAAAGCCAATATTTAAGAGGTTTTGAAGTTTCAAAAGGAACTGTTTTACTGTAAAGTGCTCTTTATGGACTACATGCAAAGGACTGGAAGGACATCACCCAAATAGTCCCCTCAGTACCTTCCTGTGACCTCTTGGCTGGTCCTTTACACAATCTATACTACGCCAGATATTCCACCTCCACTTACTATCAGTCGCAGAGACTTAAATACTTCGCTGAATGTATCAGACAAACAATTAAGTCTTTGTCTGAGACTAAAACCAGTTCTTCCGGGGCTAGGCCTGGTATGCTTTCCATTCCAAATCAGAATTCTGGTCTTGTCCTGAGGAGGCCTACACTATGCTTGCAAGCGCCTCTGTGGGCCAATCACTTCTTGGGGCCTCAGTTTCTCCATCTGAAAAGCACAGGCTGAACAAGATATTCTCAACTGTGTGTCCTTTCGGCTCTGCATCTGGGATGCTACGGCTTCAATACCTATCACAATGTTTGCGAAGCTTCCCAAACACCTGCACACCTGTTCACAGGCACTCTGGACAAAGGAGAACCCTGGCTGTAAGGAGGGCTGAGAGGGGCAGAGGGAGGGAGTGTGACGCAGCACGCAGCACCTCCAGAGAGTCCTGAACTTCTGCTTCCAGCCTCAGGCCCTGAACATCTGCCACTAAGTCCTCCCACCACTCAACTCAAGTCCAATTTCTTTCACTTTCAAATGCTTTGTTTGACATCAAAACAATACATATGGCCACAAACACAAGCGAAAATTCTTGAACAGTGCTTCAATAGTGTTTGGATTCACATACATTGTGCTCTTCTACTAAACGGTAACGGTGACAGAAGCTAACATATAGTGAATGCTTGCACTGTGCCACGTACTGTTATAGGCTCTGACTCCTTTAATCCTTTTATGAAGGAAGTATTTTGATCATCCCCATTTCAATGACAGCCTCAGAGAGATTAAGTAACATGCTTAAAGCCAAGTAGATGCTGTGTTTCAGTGGCTCCGAGCTCTCAAAACTCCCTTTACACTTTTAAAATTGATTGAGGACCCAAAAGAACCTCGATCTACAATATATCTATGATAATTACCATATCAGAAATTAAAACAGAAATTTTAGAGATACATATTCACTTAGAAGTAATAAAAATAGACCCATTACATATGAAAACGATAACATTATGAAAAATATATTTTCCAAAAGAAAACAAAGAAACGGTAAGGAATGGCATTTTTCCACACTACTTGCAATGCTAATTTTTAATGTCTGGCTTAATAAATGATACGTCAATTTTCATATATCCTTCTGCATTCAGTCTGTTAAGGTAAAATCACATCATCCAGCCTCTAGAAAATTCCAAGCAAGAAGAGATGTGAAAAGGACAAATAATATCTCAGTATTATTTTGAAAATCATTTTGATTTCACAGATACCACGAAAGGGTCGTGGGGACTGGAAGGCTTCCCGAGCATACTTAGAAAACCACTGCTGATCTTACTACTTTACCCTTTGCTTGAAATGTACTTGTTCATAATGATCACCATTATTTAAAATTAAGTAATTCTTCCTAACTGAAAAAGACAACTTCAGAATCAGACCTCTGAGGTGGGCATGATGTGACACGTCTGTAATCCCAGCACTCAGGAGGCTGAGCCAGAAAGACTGCCACGAGTTTGAGGCTAGCCTGGGCTACATAGTAAGTTCAAGTCCAGCCTGATCTACATAGCAAGACCCTGTCTCCAAAAAAAAAAAAATCAGACCTCTGTTCTAGAAGGCCTGGATGAACACTGCTTTCCAAGAGAGTAGTTAACATGTGCACAGTTGCAGCAGAAATGACCATTTCCTTGGAAATGTCTGTCAATGTGTGTCCACAGAGGTCTGCAGAAGGATCCCTGCATGGATGTGACACACACACTCCTGCGTCTCTGGGTAAGATTACGTCTCCTCTATCTTCAGATCTCTGCCAAGACTTTATGAGAGGAGATGAGGTCAGGCTCCCCATCAGATACCCACAGAGCTATCTTTTTTTATGATGCTTACCAATACCCAGGCTGAAGTTTTACATTTACATATCTGGTGCTTATGTATTCGTGCCCATCTTCCTCACTTATTACAACACGTTCCATGAGGGCAGGACCATTTCTGACTCTATTTGCCAGTGTAAACCCAACACCTGACACAGCACTCAACAAACATTAGCTGAACAAATTAATACTTAATAAACTTCTCTTAAAGTATAAAGCAGTCGACTCACTGCAAAACACACCCATGTCAACAGCAAGTCATTCCTAACTTGTTCTGAATTATTTTTCATCACCTGCTGGGCTACTTTAGGAAGGGAATAAATTATTGTCCTTTTTCAATAAATGCTCATAGTATCTGACCTGCTAATGTAACCGAGAATATGAATTAGAGGTAAATTTTTTTTTAAAGTAAAGAATTTCATTTTCCTAATAGGTGGCAGATTCTTTTAAAGTATAATGTTAATGAAGAGAACTACCACAATGTACTCAGGCAAAAATCAGAAGAGGATAAAGTTGGCAGATATAAGGATACATGCAAATTTAAATGAAAATATTATCAACAAAACGGTAAAAACTAAATTAATGGAATTTGTTTAGCTAAGGTAAAGGGATTGAGACAGGTTAGGTACTGGGGGATCTTCTGACAGTTGTGTTTTGTGGCAGACAGTTCCTTTCAAAGAAGACCACAGTATTTCCTATCCCTCACGCTTTTTGCAGTGTGGTTGGCCATCTTCACTCAACGACTGGGAAAGGCAAACACAGATAAATAACAGTAAGGATGGCAGTAATCCCAACATCATTATATTAATACTCTTCCCATTAGTATTCTCATGTCATTTAACGGTTTAAAGCATTAGTCAATTATCTTACTTATCTGCTCTACTCTGTTTGCTGGAGCATCTTGCCTGGGGCTTCTCCCCTTGCAAAATGGCTCACTCAGGTACCTGGGGAGTCTGGAGGGCAGTTGGTGGGTAGCTCAGCCAGGACTGTCAAGGGCGAAATATATTGGAACTGCTTTACTCAATGGACATTCTGGGCCTAGACAGGTGGCAACATTTGCTTAGTTTTCTTTTAGGCAGTGTGCTGAGGCATCCATTAATATTCTGGGAGAATGCTATCTCCTAAAGATTTCTTGACTATGTGATGTGTAACTCCTGTCTGTAGAATTATCCTTCAGGGCAGAGACACAGCAGCATGGTTAAAAGCATCGAGTCTCCAGTCAGTCTACATGGGTCTGGCTTCTGCCCCTATGATCTACACTCACATGATTGTGGGAGAGGTTTTAGTCTCCTGCCTCAGTTTCCTCATAATAACAGCACCCACCTCAAAAGCTTTACAAGCATTAAAAAGCCGAATTTTGGTACAGTGCTGAGAATAACACCAAACACACAGAAGTATTTGGTAAGCAAATTTTAGCCTATTAATTTTTAACTATTTGTAAGGATAATGTGTGCTTTTTCCCCCTAGTACTAGGACCTGGACCCAAGGCCTTTACACGGACCTATACGGCCAGCCCTTTTCTTATTTTTTATTTTGAGACAGGGGTGATATAGGTCAGTAAACTGCCCAGGTTGCGCTCAAATTTGTGATCCTCCTTCCTCAGCCTGCCAGAATGCTGGGAGGATTACATGCACCACCATGCCCAGCCATGTCTGCTTATTGTTCCCAGGAAAGCAGGTCCTTTTCCTGGAAGGCCCCGTCTTCATCTTCCTGGTGTTAAGAGAGAAAGAAAACTAACTGAAGGCAGAACAGTGAAGGAGCAAGTGGCAATCCATTACTGGGAAATAGCCCTGGGCAAGCTGATGGAAATCCCATTTTGGAAATTACCGCATGACTTGAATTAGGCAGAGATGTGAGGACTTTTAACCTCATAAAAAGATGTGCACTAATGAGTAGAGGTGTATAATTATAGGGTCTCCATTTATATATAGAATATTAACTCATCACGCCATATATCAGCATTGTTGAATCAACAGTGGGCTAAATGACAAAGAGTAATACTACTCACTGTAATTACTATTATTTTTAAGACTATTAACAGGAGTCTCTTTTCAGGAACAGTGGATTATGGTTAAAGAGTATCTTGTCAACACATCTCTTGAGAGTACTTACTGAACACCCACTACATACTGGATGGCGCACTGTCTCAAAGATTAAAGAGGCATGGGAAGAGGGGGAGGAAGCAGCAGAGGAAGAGAAAGATGAGAAAGAATGAAGGGAATGAAAGTTAAAAAAAAAAAAAAAGACAAATGCTTTACTGGGCATCCTAGAAAATCAGTTCGCACCCTGCCCATGGATTATAACAAGGGAAATGTGAGGAACATGCCCCAAGAGAGCATGATTTAAGAAATAATAAACACTTTGGGGGATGTAGAAAAACTACAAGGTATTCAGACTAATGAACTACAATGGAATTACATAACAGTTCAAAGCGTGATTAGTCTTTCCTTTCTGTAAAAAGCCCATCATTAGTAATAATGGGGCTGGTACAAAATAGGAAATCAGGTTTTAAAGGGTCCAGTTTAGTAAAATTACAAAACTAGAGACAGCTGCATGATTTAGAAAATTAAATATGCTACACCATCACCCTTTGACATTGGCATTACCACATTTATCATAGGACACATTTATTTATTTGGATAAAAATACCTGGAATCACAAAGGTAAATAGAGAAAGAAAACATTGTTAAATAGCCCAAGTGAACAGCATGGGTATTTCTGGGGCAGAAGAAGCCGGAGGTGGAGGGCAGCATGTAAAGAAATGGACTTGGCCTCCCTGAGATTTCACACAATCTGACCGCTTCTCCCTTCAAGAACCTCTCCCTCCATCTGAGGTAATCATCTGGAACGGTCCCCCAGTGCCTCACTGGTTTTTCTCAGCTTCCCATTTTAAAATCCTACCATAAACATATTACATGCCTTTGCTCTTCCCTCTAACTCCTTTCTCTGAG